TGCCCATTTTGTTTGCAGCTTAATGCACATTTAGATTTCGCTCAACGTCCTAATGGCAGCTCATCAGGCAGTCGAAAAAGTAGCAACAAGCTCCCCCTAATGAAGGCGGCATCCTCAACATCCCTAACATCCTCAGCATCCTTAACACCTTCCTCTAATTGCCGGGCGAAACTTGTGCCGCGCAATGAAAATAACATGGAAGACCGAATGGGGCCAAAAGCAGGTGAACAGCTGGCAGCTGAATGTGCGGGTGTTGCATGCGGCAATTCACGTCTTAACGTCTGCAACTCATAAATAACATCAAATAATAGCCCTGCGCGCTAATAAAGTGCCCGGGAACAACAAAAACAGTCGCTAGCAACTAACAACTAGCAACATCAGCAGCAACTAGCTGCTGTTGCAACACTTGCAACACCCACCAGCAACTAGCAACAGCAGATGCCACCCGCTGCCCCTAAAAAGTTTTGTGGTCGTGCATCCGCTTAGCGGTAAATGCAGCACAGTTAACTCTTTATGGCAGCGGCTTTCGAAATGGAGAAATGGCAACGAATGAAGCATGCCCTGTATATTTTGTGAAAGCTTAAAAATAATGTCTAAAAGTATGCATCAATAAAAAATAACGTTGCCTACTTTTAGATGTCATTATAAAGGGTTTTTTAAACTCCAGTTTTTTAAGGCTTCCTAAAATGTGCTATTTGGAATTTGTTTTTACAGTTTCGTATCCAGAATATTAATGTTAAATACATAAATTCTTTATGTACTATCTGGATTACTCAGATATACTTAAATGAATGTTAAATTAAAACTTCCAGATTACAGCCCAATCAACTTTCCTTGCCCCAGCTGAGTTTCGTTTCGTACCCACTTATCAGGTGGTGGCTGCGTAGCCTGCTAACAAATTTAGGCTAATTAGTTGGACTTAAGCGCGGCTTATGTGCCGTCTAATGGCCTCTTCCCTTGCTTCCCCCCAACTCCCTTAACTCTTTTGCCCACAAATGGTAAGCACGCTTTTGGGCGGACGAGCATTTAATATATGTAATTGCAGTTGTTGTTCTTTCAAGCCACAAAACAAAAAAATACCCTTAAATGTTAGAAACAATTTTTCGGGGACAAAGTCAAACATTCACCAGCGAGGGGAGAAAGGGAAAACACACGCAAATTGTCAGTAGACCGCAAAACATGCAAAACATTAAGGCCACGTCCTAGCACTCACACCCAATTTTCGGCTCATCTGTTTTGCCATGTCATTGAAGCGTAAATGAGACATTTGCGATGCTTGTTTAATTAAAATAAATTTCAATTTAATCAAAATTCGTCTGTCGACTGGGGGAAAACGGCAAGCGAGCAACCGTTTTGGAATTTCGCATTAAAATTGTTGGCATAGTTTTTAGGGGTCTCTGAAATGGATTCTGTGCCGTCATCGCCCCTGACAACTGTCGTCGCCCTGTGAGCTTTAAAATTCCGACAAACTTTTGTAACTGCCTTTTGGTTAGCACCTCTGCCCCTTCCCCCAACGAGGGTTGTAAGTGCCCAACTCCGTGTCATGTCGTACAGGTGTCAATGTGGGCGTGGCACTTAATTAAATCATTGTGTCAGCCTTTGATTAATAGTCATATAACAAATAATTTGAGGATTGTGTGTGACGCAGCGTCAGTTTGAATATAAGTCACTTAAACTTAGGGTGGGAAATTGTACAGATTTTGAAAGGGAATTTCATACATAAAGCAGAAATGCAGTTTTACTTTAAAACATTAACTTGAAGGAAACTGATGTTAGTAATTGAAATGCAAATTAAGTTTAAGGAAAAATTAATACTCCGTTAGTGATTTTGAAATCACAAAATAAATTCAACTTAAAATAAATAATAATATTTTATATTTATCTTTAATCCCAGCGCGATAAGCTTATATAGCTTTGAAATTACACTTTTACAGCAAAAGAAAAATATTTTCCTTAAAATAATAAATTTATTAAACTACTAATTGAGTGAAAAGCTTTTCAAACTCTAGAGCTCTAATCACCTTTTGCAGTCGATTTACTACAACCAAAATTAAACAATCTTTCACAGGCTCGAATATAATTTAAATTCCTTTTAAATATTGTTTATTTAAAAAAGTGTTAGCCCAGCAGGCAAAAAAGTTCCTTGAATATACAGACTTTACAACTTTTATTTTAGGTTTTTTTTTGTTTTTACACAGATGGAAGTGCGAGAGCATGAGGTAATTTAATTAAATGCTTTGGCTTGAAAGAAAAGTTGTTCTAATTTAATTGGACGTTTTGTTTGCACACGCCGCGAGTATTTCAACGTGGCCATTGTTTCCATTTACATTTGCGGAACCTGCATTTTTTATTCGATTTAGAGGGCCACATGGCGTATGAGTGATATGCGTATAATAAAAACGTAAGCGCTAATTGCCAAAAATGCTGGTAAATGCAATTTAAGTTTTTGGCTCCGGCAAATGTTATTGCAATTGAAAAAGGAAAGCGACCGGATGCAGTGGATGGAAAGCCCGCCGAGGCCATGAAACATGCATATTTGGGTTTAACCGAAAAATAAACAAGGCCAGAGGTCGGGGAGGTCAGACTACACATGTATGCTGGGAAAATTCTTTTCCACACCCCTGCATCGTTGGTTTTTTGCATGCCACGGGGCGCTGAGCCGAAAAGTATGCAACAATAAATTCTGCCACGACGGGAGCTTTTCATTTATTTGAAACACCCACCCGGAAAAACCACACACCCTCCCTTCTCCATTTAAACACCCAACGACGGTGAGCGTTCCGGCCAAAGAAAGGAAATAAAATCGGGCAAACTGTTGCCAAACTAAAAACAGTTTGTGCGCCAATTTTCTATCAATTTTCATTGGCGTTATCAGAGTCTACACCTAGAAAAATACTTTATTTGATTTGTGAAAAGAAATATAGCCATAGAACTTATAAATCATTTGCTGATAAAAATCTTTTTGTTTTAACAAAATTGTAGGGGAAATAAAGAAATAAAAAATATTTGCCATTGAATTTAGAGATTCGACAACGTCTGTAACTTTTCCTAAGTGCTGTGAAGGCACTCCAAGTGCCAGGAAAATATTTACAATTGTACTTTTGTGTGCAGCTCAAAGTGCCAGCCACTTTGATGACCCCACAGCCAAGACTGCAGCAGCATCTCGTTCTGGCCACTTTCGGTTTATGGCCCATAAATTCTGTCGCCTTGCCCCCAGCTTGTTTCCCCAGCTGCATTGCAATTGATTTGCATGGCCTGGCCGGCTGTTAGTTAACAGCCAGCACAACTGTACCACATAAATGCCAGGCAATTTATGGCCGGCCAATCGAAACAATTGCCTGACTTCTGGCCGATTGCAGCCATTGGGCCACAAAGGACTCATTCTCCTGCACCTGCATTTTATGGCTGTCAACTGCAACGCATTCTGCAACGTCCTGTCCCTACCAAAAATCCAGTCTAAGTGCATTTTTTGCTGCATCTCTCCAACTGGAGACTGACATGCAAATACTTTCCACCGGTTGAGATAAAGCTGATTTTTGATTTGCCAGCAGACTCACTGAGCCATGGCCAAGAAGCCAGCCAAGTGGCATTTGCCCCCTATTCCCACCCCCCTTTTGACCAAGCTGTTGTTTGGTAATTACAAAAATACGATAAGGCCCGGAGCAGCCCGTTCAACTGGAAAGCGAACACAAATGCCTGGGCGAATATTCATGACCTGCTGATGAAACTATCAAAATATAATGGAATACGTTATGCCAGATTATCGATAATGCATATTTTTGTGTTTGCCGAATTGGGGATTGATGGCTGAGTGGAAAGGTTGCTAATATTTGATAACCGGTAGCCGAATAAGAATTGCATATGAATATTAAATGCAGTTAAAGCATTAAAAAATTCACTTAGCTTATCTGCTGAAAAAAACACTCATCTTTGAAACTAATTACTTCAAATAAATACTAGTAAATCAGGTGTTCATGAATTCTTAAATTAATAATCACACCTCAAAGAGGAAATCCCACTCTTCATAAATAAATCACGATACAAATAAATCTCAAGAGTATAAAAAGCTTCGAGTGCTGGAAAAATAGGTTTTTCACTGTTGCCAGGCCATTTTCCACCCACCCCACGTGGACTGCCCTGCTTTTTGTGAATAGAAATATGAAAATAATCCTCAAGTGTCAGCCCGAGAGATTAGTGACAACAAACCAAAGCCGCAGAGCGAAATGAGATTTTTCATTCGGTATCAAATATCCGCAAAAACCGAGCAGGAAAAACGCAAGCAGACAAAAGAAAATGTTAAAAAAAGAAGATAGCTTAAACTACAAGTGAAATGCAAACGAGTGCAATGCTCCATGAATAGGAAAAAGGAAAAGGGAAAAGGGACAAGAACGGGCACAAAGTGCAACTAGACAAATGCAAACTACAAGCTACAACCGCACAATGCGGCCAGTAAATTGCAATCAATTAAATCCGATTTCTCCCGGAGCCACGCTTGCCCCATGATCCTAAAGCTAAATGGGAAAAGACGCCGGTGATAAAAATATAGTATGAAAATAAACGAAAACCCTTAGATTTTCTGTTTATGTTACAATGGAAGTTTAAGCTTTAAAACTTCAAAATTTTGATTGCATTTGAAAGTCCTTTATTGAAATCTAAAGCTTATTCGCACTAACTAATGTATTAAGATATAGTGGCAGAAATTTAATTTTTTTGTTTTTAAAGCCATAATTAAAAAAACAAATAAAATATAATTAATTATTGTGAATGCATTTTAGCCTTTAAACTTTAAATATTTTTTGTATATTAATATGCATAACATTGCTAAAATATTTCATTAAATTGAACTTTAATATTTAGTCATGCAATTAATTATGTGAAATAGGTATATAATTTTCGTCGAGTTCATATACAGTTTGGGCCCACTGTGCTGCATTTGCAGCTGCGACATGTGGAGCAACTGTAGATCGCACTCAGCCTCCATCATCAGTTGTCACTGGCATTCGAAGCCGTCTGGTTATCTCCTGTTAAATCACATCTTGTCTCAGCCGATTTAACACATCTTTGATCATGGAAAATAATTTCTACTGGCGAAACAAAGTGGCTGTGGTCACTGGCGCCTCGGTGGGCATTGGAGCCAGCACAGCTGTGGAGTTGGCCAATGCCGGAATGGTGGTCGTGGGACTGGCTCGTCGAGCGGAACTCATTGAAGTAATTATAACTGTTTTCTTTTAATTAAAAACCCTTAAGTCATTATTCCTCAGGCTCTCGGGGAACAAGTGACGGGCGAGGGAAAGATCTTTGCCCGGCAATGCGACCTCAATGATGAGGAGCAGTTGACCAGTACTTTTAACTGGATTCGAGAGAAATTCCAGGCCATCGATGTGCTCGTCTGCAACGCTGGCATCCTTAAGGCCAACTTCCTGAGCGGTAAATTCATAGGGAATAGCAGATATGAACTTTTGAGCCTACATTCCCTGAACCACCAGAGTCGCCAACCAAGGACATAAAGGAGCTGTTCGACACGAATGTCGTGGCCACCGCCAGCTGCCTGCGGGAGGCGCTGAAGCACATGGCTGCGGTTAAGGTTCGCGGTCACATTGTGGTCATGAACAGGTGAGTGTCCTTCCAGGGAAAATGATCTGCCTCAGGCAACAAAGCAAGGGGCATCTGAGGTGGAATGTATGGGGGCGGAAAAATATTTAACAATATATCCGCTGTAATCATACATTCCGTTTGCATTTCTGAAATCAATTTTCATAGCATTTCATTGGTAAAAATCGATTTAATTACTTAATGGCGCATTTGAAATGCTTAAATATTTGTTTGTTGTTAAGTGCATTTTTTATTTTTGAAAACATTTCTCAAATAATTTTATTAGTAAAACTTAATTTAAACAGCTTAAATATTAATATTATATATTATTCATATATTAAATATAAATATTTTTCCTTTACTTTGTTTGAAATATTTATACAACAGAGGTTAGTAACTTAAATTTTACATAAATATTTTAATTTAAATAATTTTAAAAATTTTAATTTAAATAATATCAAAATATAATGGAATACGTTATGCCAGATTATCGATAATGCATATTTTTGTGTTTGCCGAATTGGGGATTGATGGCTGAGTGGAAAGGTTGCTAATATTTGATAACCGGTAGCCGAATAAGAATTGCATATGAATATTAAATGCAGTTAAAGCATTAAAAAAATTCACTTAGCTTATCTGCTGAAAAAAACACTCATCTTTGAAACTAATTACTTCAAATAAATACTAGTAAATCAGGTGTTCATGAATTCTTAAATTAATAATCACACCTCAAAGAGGAAATCCCACTCTTCATAAATAAATCACGATACAAATAAATCTCAAGAGTATAAAAAGCTTCGAGTGCTGGAAAAATAGGTTTTTCACTGTTGCCAGGCCATTTTCCACCCACCCCACGTGGACTGCCCTGCTTTTTGTGAATAGAAATATGAAAATAATCCTCAAGTGTCAGCCCGAGAGATTAGTGACAACAAACCAAAGCCGCAGAGCGAAATGAGATTTTTCATTCGGTATCAAATATCCGCAAAAACCGAGCAGGAAAAACGCAAGCAGACAAAAGAAAATGTTAAAAAAAGAAGATAGCTTAAACTACAAGTGAAATGCAAACGAGTGCAATGCTCCATGAATAGGAAAAAGGAAAAGGGAAAAGGGACAAGAACGGGCACAAAGTGCAACTAGACAAATGCAAACTACAAGCTACAACCGCACAATGCGGCCAGTAAATTGCAATCAATTAAATCCGATTTCTCCCGGAGCCACGCTTGCCCCATGATCCTAAAGCTAAATGGGAAAAGACGCCGGTGATAAAAATATAGTATGAAAATAAACGAAAACCCTTAGATTTTCTGTTTATGTTACAATGGAAGTTTAAGCTTTAAAACTTCAAAATTTTGATTGCATTTGAAAGTCCTTTATTGAAATCTAAAGCTTATTCGCACTAACTAATGTATTAAGATATAGTGGCAGAAATTTAATTTTTTTGTTTTTAAAGCCATAATTAAAAAAACAAATAAAATATAATTAATTATTGTGAATGCATTTTAGCCTTTAAACTTTAAATATTTTTTGTATATTAATATGCATAACATTGCTAAAATATTTCATTAAATTGAACTTTAATATTTAGTCATGCAATTAATTATGTGAAATAGGTATATAATTTTCGTCGAGTTCATATACAGTTTGGGCCCACTGTGCTGCATTTGCAGCTGCGACATGTGGAGCAACTGTAGATCGCACTCAGCCTCCATCATCAGTTGTCACTGGCATTCGAAGCCGTCTGGTTATCTCCTGTTAAATCACATCTTGTCTCAGCCGATTTAACACATCTTTGATCATGGAAAATAATTTCTACTGGCGAAACAAAGTGGCTGTGGTCACTGGCGCCTCGGTGGGCATTGGAGCCAGCACAGCTGTGGAGTTGGCCAATGCCGGAATGGTGGTCGTGGGACTGGCTCGTCGAGCGGAACTCATTGAAGTAATTATAACTGTTTTCTTTTAATTAAAAACCCTTAAGTCATTATTCCTCAGGCTCTCGGGGAACAAGTGACGGGCGAGGGAAAGATCTTTGCCCGGCAATGCGACCTCAATGATGAGGAGCAGTTGACCAGTACTTTTAACTGGATTCGAGAGAAATTCCAGGCCATCGATGTGCTCGTCTGCAACGCTGGCATCCTTAAGGCCAACTTCCTGAGCGGTAAATTCATAGGGAATAGCAGATATGAACTTTTGAGCCTACATTCCCTGAACCACCAGAGTCGCCAACCAAGGACATAAAGGAGCTGTTCGACACGAATGTCGTGGCCACCGCCAGCTGCCTGCGGGAGGCGCTGAAGCACATGGCTGCGGTTAAGGTTCGCGGTCACATTGTGGTCATGAACAGGTGAGTGTCCTTCCAGGGAAAATGATCTGCCTCAGGCAACAAAGCAAGGGGCATCTGAGGTGGAATGTATGGGGGGCGGAAAAATATTTAACAATATATCCGCTGTAATCATACATTCCGTTTGCATTTCTGAAATCAATTTTCATAGCATTTCATTGGTAAAAATCGATTTAATTACTTAATGGCGCATTTGAAATGCTTAAATATTTGTTTGTTGTTAAGTGCATTTTTTATTTTTGAAAACATTTCTCAAATAATTTTATTAGTAAAACTTAATTTAAACAGCTTAAATATTAATATTATATATTATTCATATATTAAATATAAATATTTTTCCTTTACTTTGTTTGAAATATTTATACAACAGAGGTTAGTAACTTAAATTTTACATAAATATTTTAATTTAAATAATTTTAAAATCATTAAACAATTTTATTTTGAGTCGATTTGCTTTAAAATCTTGCCTACTGACAATAACCCTGTTAATTTTGACTTCCTTTCCGATCTCAACACTTAGAGAGCTCAATTTAATTTTCCGTAAATGAAGCCTGTGCGGTAGAAAAAGTTTGAAGTCGACTGCAAGGGGAAAGCCATCAATTGAAAGCTATACTTGAAAGGATTGTCTATTGACTCGAGACAATTAGATAGAGCTACAAAATTAGCACAACTGCAAACAGACAATTGGTCGGCCCAATCGGTCGTCGGGGGTAATTGTTATCATTTCGGGAGTTTCGATGTTTGCCCAGCTGAAATGGGAAAATTGGGCTTAAATCGAAATTAGTGCAGGGGGCCCACAAAGGCGGTGTGCATACAGTGATGGAGTTGGAGGTAAATCATTTTCGTACATATTTGCTTTATAGTTTTGCTTGTGCTGGGCAAACAACTGGCCAAAAGCTGCTGCCTTGAGTGGCAAAATATTTACCAAATTATGTCCTGTGGGGTGTTGTTGTTGTGGCCCACCCCCTTAGAGAGGGGCGGGGGGTTCGGCCGATCGAAGGGGGCTTAATGAAAGTGCAAACAATGCAGCCGGCCAGTCAATAGCCGCTTTCGGAGTTGGTCAGCTCAATGCATTTTGCATGGGCAAGGCTTTCGCACAAAGGAGAAGGGTTCGCAGTGGTTGAGGCGCGTTATTTAAATTAAATTAAAAGCCATGCGGCAAACAAACAGCACAACAGCACAAACATTTATTGATATTTAAATGCTGAACGCAGGAGAAGCGGAAGGGGCACGCATGGTGATTCTGCGGTGCGGGTGGTGCATTAAAAGCTTTGCATGGCCAATGTGTTTGCCCCAAACAAGGGAAACAGCAACAGCAACAACAACTCAATTATTCAACATAATTAAGTATTTTGCATTAAGCCGAATGCGTATTGCATTTGCATTTTGCATTCTGCATTCCTCCATTGGCAGTCGTCGATGTGATTTTTATTATTTCATGGAATCCAATGCGTACCGCATTTAAAATCAAAAATGTTGCGCATTAAGCCGCATGTTTGATTTGCGCTATGGCTTTAATTTCAAATTGCATTGATTTAATTTTAATGAAATTTACTTGAGTGCATACGCACAGGCACAGGCACACTCACAAACACCCACCCACCCAATCAGATAGCAATTATTGCCATTGCCATTGCCATTTTGCCCATGAGCAAAAGGCAAAATTGAATAATTGCGTATACGCACTGTGGGCGGTGAAGTGGGCCTGGCCTGCATGCATGCGTGAATGTCTGCCTGTCCATGTGTGCGCTTGCGTTTTTTCATGCCTGTAAAATCAGTCAGCAGGCGGAAATGTTAAGGCAAATTCAACAAAGCCAACGTCAATCTTATTTATTGATTGCCTTTTAGTTTATGCCAAGATGCCAATTTATTCGACCAGAATTCTGTCTGGGAAACCGTTTTGAAGCACCGAAATAAGATTCGATCGTTTTATAATGATTCGTCCTGACTCTTGACACTTATTCTTAACCGAAATTAATAAGTTGTGTATTAGCTTTTACTTCAAAAATTATTTATTTTGTTGCACTGGTTAAAAAACGTTAAAAGAAAAATCCAAAGGTTTCATTTTCAATATAAATATTTATTGCTTTTATCAATTATAGTAAATGTAAAATTTTAAGCTTTAAATTTTATATGAAATTCTTTTTTATAAACGTGAAATATTTTAGAATACAAATTAAAGAAAATATTGTATCAAATATTTTCCAGATTGATTTGAATATATTTTAATTATATATAGCAATTAAATATTTTCTTTGTTGAATATTAAGTTTTTTGTATTTAATTTAAATATGTAACAGAATTTTTTGAATTCAATATGCTGATTTTTTTTTCTGTGTCTTTCATAAATTAGTTTTTAATTAGGTGTTAATGGATGATTCCAATGCTATTGAAACATAAATGGAAATATCGGGTTTTTAAATGGAGTCGAGATTTATTGGCGGAATTCTAGGTATACCTCAAAAGAGCATTCTTAACAGCCCTTGAGCTACCTCCGCATCCTGACCACCTTTCGCCACGCAATCGGAAAGTGCAACATCGAAGTGCATTAAAGACACACCGTAAATACGCATTTTCCGGAATTTTCATACGCATTTTTCCGGCATAATGAGCAGCGGACACAAGCGTATTGTCCGCAATCGAATACAATTGAGCATTGCGGACAGGCGGGAAAAGCGTGGAAAGCGGGACAAACGGGAAATGCGGGAAAAGGCGGGGTAAATGCGACTTCGAACTTCGCAAACGTTAATTAATGAGAAAATGTATTTATTTGGCGGCGTTGCGAGGCAAAGACAATCCCGTTCTGGAAACGTTGCTGAGGCGTTGCTAATGAGCGTGTGACGTTGCGGGGGGGCGTGTGTGTGTGTTTCAGGGGGCGTGGCAGGTGGGCGAAGGGGAGGGTCGTCAATATGCATTTCGCTTAATGTCAGTGCAATAATATTAAGACTTAATTAATTAAAAACTGCAAGGGTACGCCGACCGGCCAGCATCTGCAGCATCGTCGGAAACTGTTTGCATTAAAGGCCCCAGGATCCCTAGGCCCCTGCCTATAAGTACCACCCCCTATTTTGCACCTGCACTCAAAAAAAAAATAAATAAAGATAATATAAATACAGAAGCATGACTAAAATAGTTACAAAAATATTTATTTAATTAAAACTAGAAAATGAATATTTCCTTAATTTTGAACTTTAAACTAAATGTAATTATTATTAATTTCCTTTCTTTATTATTATAAAATACTATATTTTTGCCGAGTGTGGGGGTTAAATTAAAAGAAGTTTACGCAATGTTTGCACAAAATGCACAGCGACATATGCAGGCAGGTGAAATGCAGGACGCAGTGGGCAGAAAACTGGGGACATCACACACATTCTTTGAGGCATGCAAAGTGGGTTTTCCGGGGGCGGTGGAAATTCCGTAGTACCCGTCAGCTGCTGACCGTCATTTTCCGTAAGTGTTCGAGGGCGACTTGTTTTTTGTTGCTGTTTTAAGTGCTCGGAATCCGTGGTGTTGACTTTATTTACCCATGACCCCTCCTCTCTGTCTTTTTCTGTTTTGTTCACCCCCGAATGTGGACGATGCTCCTCCGGACAAATGGACACATGGACGTTTGACAACAGCGTGTTGGGCCATCGGATTCCGGAAGTGCCGGTGCCCTTATTCAGCGTTTATCCGGCCACGAAGCATGCAATTACGGCCCTCTGCCAAACGGTGCGCCAGGAAATACATTTTCTCAAATTAAATATTAAATTAACGGTAAGTTAAATGCAGTGCATACATGGCGCCCCATCCTCCTGATCTTCTTACTCTGCGAAATGTTGCAAACATGACGCGTCTGGCGATTGGTAACCCTCTTTCCATTCCTTTTTCCCGCAGAGCATCTGTCCGGGAATGGTGGACACGGATTTCCTCAGTGTTTACTCGCAGGCGGTCGCCGAGTTGCCCAAGCTGCAGGCGAAGGATGTGGCCAAAGCCGTGTTGTATGCGCTGAACACTCCTGACGGCGTCCAGGTGGAGGACATCATCCTGCAGCAGATGCGAAAGGTCAATTGAGCGCGCGATTGAATTCTAAAAACTTTTTGTTATCTGAAGCATTGTTGTATTTACAGTTTTTATATTTTTTTATTTCAAATATTAAAAAATACATTGCAACATGGTTTTTTATAAATCCTTAAAGTAAGACAACATTTTAATGCTTGTTATGAGAATTGTTGAATTTGTTTTAGCAGCCTAAGAAAACTTTCCACCTGTATAGTTTTAATAACAGCACACAATCCATAAATATTTGTATCACCCTTATACTTATTTGAAATATATATATGAATATAGAAGGGATAACTCTTGAATAACTATAATAAATTTTTCTTACAAATTGTATTTAAAAAAGCGTAAAGCGTAAAAACTGAAAAAACAGTAAATGGAGTTATAATTTGAATAAAATAAAAGGGGAGATGCCACTTCGGAGTAACGGCTAACTAGCGCTGCCAGACCCGGCCAAAAAGACCCTCCCTTAGCAAGTACCTCCACCAATTTAGCGGAGTTCCCCTCCGTACATCGATTGTCTGACATTTCTGCACTCGATAGTATCGAGCACACATCGATTTTTTCCAGCTCTACCCCTTTTGGTCACACTGGGGCTTATGATTAAAAAAAACTGAACTGACTCCAATAAAAACGTGAGGTAGAAAAAGCGAATTAAGTTGACAATTGATACACACAGCACCTGCACGGTAACCAGCAGCGAAACGCGGCAGAGGCGCGCGGCGGCAGCAGCAATTGCAGGCGGCTATGCGGCCATCAGAGGCGAGACACCCGCAGCAGCGGGATCGAAAATCCCGAAATGCGTCCACGTAGTGCAAAATCCGAATCTCAATCCGATCCCCAATCGGATGTCGATGTGTCTGGGCGCCCTTGCAGGTCGAGGGCGCGGCTGAAACGGGGTGAACCTGCGATCCGAAGTGTGTGATTACGAAATGTGCTTGTGCTCCAAAGGCGAAATGATATTATAAAGTATAATATGCGTGTTACCACGTAGTTCCACACAGACAGGCGAACACACGCGCACACACACACACACTGGCAGACAGACTGCGTGAGAGAGAGAGACGGAGAGAGGCGGGCGAGGGAGAAGAGAAAGAAAGAAAGTGTTGCCCAGTTGACAAAGAACAGGTTTTAACCTAATTAACTGAGAATAATGGCCCGAAAAATGTACCGCTAAAAGGAAGCGAAGTCCGCAAGGTCCCCGGCGGCTGTGTGCGTGTATGTGTGTCAAGGTTCCGGAAGTTTAGCCGCCGTAGAATTGATTTCCTATAAGCTAAGCTGCTGTTGTTGTTGCCGCTGCGCTGCGGTTGTTTTTGTGGTTGTTGCTGGACATTGAACTTGAGTCTAATTGCGCACTAATCCATTATCTATATATCTCTTCGATCTTTCGCTTATTTCCCTACATAATATAGCCGTCTAGCCCAGCAGCTCTCTTCCCCCCACAAAACACACACACGCTGCTTTTGGAGCCACTTACCCGCAACCGAGAGCCACAAAAAACATCAGGATGTTCATCTGGGACTGGTTCACCGGAGTGCTGGGATACCTGGGTAAGAAACGCCTCTACGAGGTCCCCGAATCCGAATCTCTGACATTGGGGGAGCGTTTCTTGAGCGAGTGCCAACAAAGCAGCCAGACAAAAGAAACCAAAATTCGATGTACAGCGGAGGTCAAAGTGATAGCTCTACCATAAGCGATTATCTAGAAACCTAAAGGTTAAATTGTATAAGAAGAGGTTATATTATTATACTTAGTATCAGTTTTTATCAGGATTTTCTATCATTAGGAACAAGCTTTTAATGTAATATACTTTGTATTATAATTCCTGACAAAGGAAGGGAATTGACTGATATATTAACCTACCTTTCAGGTTTTAAATTGTACTTAGGCAGTTCACATAAGTTAAATTCCCTGTTATTTTGTATTTCCATCATAAATTGTAATTGAAATAGTTTTTTTTCCAGTAGTCAGTATAATATACTTTATTATTTATATATTATTTATTCAGCTAAGTTCTTTTGGAAATTTGGTAGCAAAACTAATAATTACCCCGCATTCTCAGAGCTATTATTTCGACCTGAAATATGTGTTTGCATGTCTGTGGCTACGCAAACACAAGTGATCCGTCACTGGTGTTAGTTTAGCTGCGTATATTAATTGATGACGATTTACTTAAAGGCGCCTATTCAACATTTCTCTCATTCCAGGTCTGTGGAAAAAGTCTGGCAAATTATTGTTCCTGGGTCTGGATAATGCTGGCAAAACCACACTATTGCATATGCTCAAAGATGATAAGCTGGCGCAGCATGTGCCCACACTGCATCCAAGTGAGTAACCTTTAAGAGTCAAGTACAAGTTCCATAGATAACTCTTATGTTAATTATCCCACGCAGCATCCGAGGAGCTGTCCATCGGCAACATGCGCTTCACTACATTCGACTTGGGTGGCCACACTCAGGGTAAGTGTCTAATCTTCACCGGAGCTTCGGGGAATGTGCATCCAAATATCTGCTGTTTTCCGAACGTGCCCACGACTAAATATAGATCAGTATGCAAAAATATCGCAGGGCGACACACGCTAGAACAGCCAGATCCACGACAATCAGCATGAAATATAGCACAGCGGGTCACCCATACAGTCAGTGGGCCTTACACTCTTTGCATTTGTTGCGTTCAATCAGCGTCGCACACTCAAACGCCCATCAAGCAATGCCATTACAGTGGTCCTAAAACCATTCATGCAGGTTTTGAATTAATAGATTGATAATCTCTTAAACTGGATTGGAATCTTATGAATTTCTCAGGATTATAGATAGGTTGAATAAGTTTTGTTAAAATCTAATATTTAATTCCCTAGTAAAAGGTCCAAATAATATTATCTCGCCACCCACAGTGCATCTATAGGCGAAATATTTATGAATAATACAAGTATGAAGGCAAACAATCTATATAGATAACAAACAAAAACAAAAAGCGCTAGATGAGCGGGTACAAACTCAAGTTTTCTCACAAACGAGAACTTAGTATATGTGTATAAATAGGAATATTATGAAAAATGGTAAAACATCATGAAATGGCTTCTAGGGGCAATTGTTTTTGATAAAGAAGCAGCGTCGATTTAATGAGCTTTATTATAAGTGCAGCTCGTCATCGTGACGATCGTTTTCGGTTTCTGAACTGGGTAACCGTGATCAGAGTAACGTAGAGAGAGGTTCGTGAAACGCGGTCTCAACCACGAAAAGATATCACAACTTAGTGCCTGATAACAATGATTCGCGTTTTGTGTGTTCTGGTGATGTTATGTAAATTATAGATTGTTAGTTGAATACAATCGACTAGTAAGTAGTACCCTACGCTTACTTTAAATATTATTTAAATTTCCTAAAAAAAAGTTTTTTTAGTTTTTTTATGACAAAGAATTTAAAAAATCACAGTTTTAGCAGAAAGATAAGATAATACAGTACTTAGTACATCACAATGCACATTACTTACAAGCAAAAATGGTCAACAATGCTCTAAAAAAAAAAAAGGAAGAAAGGAGAGGTTTAGGAAAACTACAATTAAGTTAAATATTAAATAAATTTAAATGTTATTTAAATTCACTAAAAAAGTGTAGGGCAATCTTATCTTAATTTTTTTATGACAAAGTATTTAAAAAATCACAGTTCTAGTAGAAAGATAAGATAATATAGTACTTAGCATATAGTAAAAATGGATGAAAGGATATGTTTAGGAAAACTACTATATCCATATATGTTTGTGAATTAAATATTTTTTCTTTCTCTTAACAGCACGACGCGTCTGGAAGGACTACTTCCCCGCTGTGGATGCAATCGTTTTCTTAATAGACGCCTGGGACCGCGGTCGCTTCCAGGAGAGCAAAAACGAGCTGGATTCGCTGCTCACGGATGAGGCGCTGTCCAACTGCCCCGTGCTCATATTGGGCAACAAAATCGATAAGCCCGGCGCGGCCAGCGAGGATGAGCTGAGAAACGTGTTTGGACTGTATCAGCTAACAACCGGCAAGGTAAACAAACCCCTCTTCCGTTCTAATGGTCATTTTTCTAATAATACATAATTCATTTTCGTTTGATTCACAGGGCAAAGTGGCACGCGCCGAGCTGCCTGGCCGCCCATTGGAATTGTTCATGTGTTCCGTGCTGAAGCGACAGGGCTACGGCGAAGGTTTCCGTTGGTTAGCGCAGTATATCGATTAAGTCAGAATTAACAACCACCACAACAGCATAATTCAATAACACTCAACCGAAACCGAAAACTTGGCTACAAAATTTAAACCAATTCGACTACAGAAACAGAACCGAAAGGAAATGAACCCAGCCCAACCCAAACCGTCAGACCTTAAGCAAAACGAAGCTGCGTGCGCAATTTCTAATTTATACAAAACAATTACAAATATTTCATAATAATAAAAACCACAAAACAAAACAATGTACATCTGTAATTAAACGACGCTGTTTAATCCAGTTACACACAACCGCAGGAGAGAACACAACACAACATCAAAGTGCAAACAACTTTTCTATCTAGAACATCGGGATAAAATAATAAGGATATAAAGAGTGCGCAAGGGAAACTTTTAATAATAATTATGAATAACAAATTGTAGCAAATTAAAGGTGATTTATTTAAGAGCAAGTGCTTTCAACGACGCTGTTCCATAAATAAAATTTAGCTATCTACCTTTTATTTAAAAATTGATGATTGTAAATGTCAATATTGATTTCCTTTATAGTTTAGTTTGGCTGCAAAATATTATATACAACCCCAAAACCTTCCAACGCCCGTTTCCCCTTCCGATAATGGTATACTATATTTTAGCTAAAATTTTTAAGTTGCATGTCATCGATGTACTTTGTTTCTTTTTATACAATACGAAAGGGAAAACAGTTTATAAAAAACCGCATTTTTGTTTGCAAAGATAATTCTAAATAAAACGGAGAAAAGTAATTTTGTAAAATAAAAATGGGATGATGTTTTTTTTGGTTTGGGTAGGAAGAAGTTCAAGAATTAAATAAAACCCATTGGCGATGTACAAATATATTGAATTTATTTATTTTGCATTTAAGGTTTACGCTAATGAGTCACGTTGGAGCATCTATTGAAATCAGGGAGCAGGCTTTCGATGGGGGCGAGCGCGGAATCAAAGAGCTGCTTGTCTAAGTAGAAAAATATTACAAAACTCTGGAACGGCCGGGCTGCGGATGATGATGAACGATGCTAATGCTAACTGCGGCGGCAGCGGGGAAGCCGTCGGAGCAGCATAAGTTGCCGCTGAAAGAGGCGCATGAGCAAGCCTTTGCGCTTGGCCCGCTCCCTGCATCAGGAGCGCGAGGAGGACTCGCCCATGGAGCCGGATCCGCCCGCCATGCGGCGCTTCTTTTTCTTCTTGGCCGTGAGACTCTCCTGACCACTGTCCGTGTTGGAATCGCCGCCATCCTCGCTCTCCTCCGACGACGACGAGGAACTGCTCGAGGAGGAGGAGCTGGAGTTGCTGGAGCTGTCCGAGGCGAAGCCGGTGCTCTCGTTCAGGTTAATACTATCGGCGATCTGGGCCAGCTCCGGGCGCTGCTCGCGCAGCACGCGCAGCCACTTCCGGGACAACTTGGGTCGCCCGCGAACAGTCTTGTGCCAGACGCAGGGGAAGTTCGTCTGCGAACTGAAGTTCTGGGTGATGGCAATGGTGTCGTCCAGGTTGAGCACCACGTGCCACCAACCGCCGGGCACGAACACAGTCTCGCCCTCGCCCTGGAGCACTTCGATGGGGCGGTACTGCTCCGGCCAGCTGGGCAGCTGGGTGCGCGGATAGATGGTGCTGAACCAGGTGATGGCCTCGTCGCGCTGCTTGCCGCCCATGGCGCTCGTGACCTTCAGCAGCTCCTTGGGCGTTTGGGTGGGGAACAGGCACCAGCGCTTGTGGCCGCGGATGAGCGTGTTCCAGGCACTGGTGCCCAGCGGATCGATGTGGATACCGGTGCCGGAGCGAGCGGGTCCCATGACGAACCATCGGTACGGCGGACGGCGATTCTCGCCGCAGTACTGGAAGAGGTCGTCGCGGAAGTACCGGGGCACCACATAGTCGTCCAGCAGCTTGCGCCGCCGGTGGTGTTCGCCGAAGCTGCTGTCGAAGATGTAGAGCGGGCTGTCGTCGCGCGTGCCCTGCATGTACTCCACATAGTACTTCATCTTCATCTTGACGCTATAGCCCTCGTTGTCCTCGCCGCACTTGAACTTCTGGTTGCGGTACTTCTTGGACAGGCGGGCCAGTGTCCACTTCTCGAGCGCCAGCCAGCCGTCGGTGCAGCCGCGTATGACCACCGGCTTGTAGGGCCGCTCGAAGCGCTCGATGAACTCGGCCTCCGACACCTCCGACTCCACGATCCGCTCCAGGTTGTCGGTGAAGTCCCAGAAGGGCTCGAACTTATCGCAGTACCGCATGGCCGACCAGGCGTTCTCCCCGTCCAGCTCCGGACGGGCCTTGCGCTTCACCTCGCGGGTGCGCTTGCGGGAGCGCTTGGGCAGCTTGAATTCCTCGCTCATTGCTGGAATTGGCCAATTTTCAACGGCTCCTGGAAACGTTGAAAAAGCAACGTGAGTGCAGTGTGGCCAGGTGGCGAGAGCCCGATCATGCTGTTCACGGCACACCTGGTCACTCAGCTGGCCGCCAAAATGGGGGCTTTTACTGTGGTTTTTTATGGGCTTTCCAGGTGAAGCGACATTTTGGGGTGGTAGTGGGCGTGGCCTCTTGCGGTTTTACACATTTTATAAGTAATTGATTGTAAAATAAGCGCGATGCAAAATTTCTTTTGTTTAGTACCAGGGCTGACCATATCAGCGTGACCAGAGTTTATATTGTGTATATTTTTGTTTTTAAATTTAAAGTTCGAAATTAAATATTAATTGAACAATTAAAGTCACGCTTTTAAAATATGTATATTACTAGCCTTATACTAGTTTTTAATAATAATAATAGTTCTTTGATAAGTTGAAATTGTAAATTTAAATTTTTAATATATTCTTTAAATGGAGTAATGCATTTATTATTATAATATTAATGTATTTATTGTATTTTTAGTTATTATAAGTAAGATTTACAAAAACAGTACAAAAAAATTCCCGTTAAAAACTGCATACTTGTTAGTGCAGCCCTGGTCACTGGGATTTCTCATGTGACAGCTGCAGGCGGAGAAAAATAATGATAAGCCAAGTCGGACAAGGTGGAGTTTTTCAGGAAAACCAGAGGGAAAACCATTGGTAACCCGCTTTTCGCACTTTTTCCAGAGCTCTACAAGGTGCCGCTTCGCATTCTAGACCACCGGGTATTTGTAAACGGCGAAATCGAGAGTTTCCTCGAGAATTTCGAGGTGCGTCGCAACGACAGCGAAGTGGAGAAACTGTTCCAGGTCACCGAGACAGTGGGATCTCTGAAGTACGATCTCTCCGAGCGGTGCATTGCATCCGGCACGCAGAACCTCACCCAACTGGACACGCAGGTGAACCAACTGCTGGACGGGGTCAACGCTCTCCTAGCGAAGGCGAAAGTGGAACACACGGTTAGTGGGTCACCGTAATCACCGTCCGTTTGTCATTGATTAATTGCCCGTTTCCCCGGTGTTCAGGCCAGCACCCAGTTGCAGGAGGCGCGACTGGCACGTGAGCAGCGTCGGGCGGAGTTCCTGACCAATTTGGAGCACGGCTATCGACGCATCGAGAACTCGTTCGAGGAGAAGGAGGAGGAAATCGCCGAACTCTACTCGGATCTGCAGCTAAAACTGAACATTGCCAAGTAGAAGACATGCTGAAGTCAACGATCGTGGACGCACGAGTGCGCCTGGTGCCGTCCAAGAAGCTGCTGGACTTCCTGGACGCCCACAAGGAGCACTTTCAACAGGTGCCCGAAAATGTGGCCAAGGTAATGAAGCACAAGGGTCTCACTTTGCCTCTAAGAACAAAGATAATCAAGGATGACGAGGTGGTCACCAAACGTCCAAAGATCGACCAAGCTCTGCTGAAAAAGCTAACTGAAAATATAACAAAAACACCGGATGAGTTCGTAAATAATAAGACGGATTCCCCAGAAGATAAGGAAGAAACACCGGAACAGGTGAAAAATGTCCTGTATTTGAGTGACCTGCACTGGCTATCCAAAACGCTGCTTGAACTGCGCTCCCAGGACCTTTGCCAAGTCTTTCTCCATCAGCTAATTGAGTCCTGCGAACTCATTCTGCCCGAAAACGAGATGAAACCGCGAAATCCCGAGTTGGAAGCCCGCTGCGAACGTCTTCGCGCGGAGCAGCAGAACCGGGATTACCTCAAGATGACCAAGAACGTGGATGCCGGCCTGAAAAACTACCCCGAAGACACCATTTCCTATCAGAGTGAGTGTGATGAATTACTTAATTAAGTCACTAACTAAACGTTTTCCCCACTTTCCAGTCAAGAGCCTCAACAAGCAAATCATTGCCGTGGCCCAGTTCATTTTCTCGGTGGCCGCTGGCTTTACTTTCGGTTTCTTTGGCGTCAACTTGATGGTGGGTCCGCTGCCCTTCGGCTTTCGCATTCTGCTGGGCGTCATAGTAGCGCTCATCATAGCTCTGGCCGAGATGTACTTCCTGGCCAAGAAGCTGCACGAATACGACGAGGTCCTGGATGCTCCCAAGCGCAAGCCGCAGCCATCGACGCCGGTTAAGCGCAAGGTGGTCGTCGCCCAGCCGCCCGCCGAGGGAAGCCAAGTGCAGACACTGAAAGCCCATGCTGACTAGTTAATTACATCCTTGTATTATTTCGCGTTGCAATGTTAGGTTATATAAATAGCTGTAAAAGTTTATTCTTTCGGGATCGGAATCGGGGACTTGGATATCGATTATATGCTACGTATGCTCGTTTCGATTATGAATGCACACACCCTACTCATAGTGGTTCGGCTGTGGGTTGGGGTTGTTCCAACCCTCGTCCAGGCCATCGGATCCGCCGCGTCCCAGCCAGGCCATCAGGTAGACGAACAGGACAAAGGCCAGGATGCCGGCGGTCACCAGGAACCAGGTGCGGCGCCACGGCGGCCGGGAGGAGGGCGCATAGAAGCGGCGTGTCCAGCGCGAGAAGAGTTCCGCCGGAGTGCGGCGCTGGTACTTGTTATCGTCCCGATCCGTCCCTCCAATGGGCGACTGACGTGGCAGCAACGGTCGTCGGCTGCTGGCTGTTAAGGGATCAGCAGTTAGATAGAAACTAAAGGATAACGGTTGGTCTCATACCGTAGTCACCCGCACTGGGCGGATTAAATGCGTCCATTAGGAGCACGGAATGTGGACTCGCGGCATCGTGGCCATTGGGCTTCGTGCGCTCTCGCTCGCCACCGGAATGGATGTGGTGCACTTTGGTCATTTGGTTGCTGACGGCCGCCTGGCTGGCCACCTTGGGCTTGATGATGGCCTTCAGGCTGCTGCTCTGATCCTCGGAGAGCTAAGGGATAATCCGGGATTAGGTTTAGGTGGAAATCTTTAAAAAGCCTACCAGGGCCAGTCCCAGGCCATTCCTGCCCCAGTTGACCTGCGCCAGGAAGTTCTTCAGGGCCTCGGCCACCGGGGAGACCAGGTTGGAGTTGGGAAAGATCTCCACGCTGCAGGCGGGGCACTGGTGGCCGCGCGGCGCAGTGTTGGCAGGCAGGGCGGCTTGGCGGGCGTTCAGGCAGTCCCAGTGGAAAACATCTGGAAGGGAAGGGATCATGGATTAGCTGGTGGTGGGTGGGTAACTAGAGATCCCTACGGTAGCAGACGAGGCGCACACAATCGCCCTGCTCCAGTGTGGTGCCGCAAAGGGTGCAGTTGGAGATGTAGTCGCTGTCCCGCAGCCACTGCAGATACGACTGCACAATGCACTGGAAAGGGATATAGAATATATATAATCTGGGGTTCCTTAGAGCTGATATAAAGGATATCCCCACCTTCGGGTGCGACTGAACCATGCAATGTTCACAAACATTGACGCGGTGCTCGAAGCAAAACTGGTTGGTCACCAGTCGCTTGGGACACTTGCACAGACCCATGTCTACGAATTCGATTCGGGGTTCCTAAGGCGGTGGAGGAATTGCACTTGGCGGCCTTGGGAGAGCTATCGCATAGTAGTGTCCCAATTTAATTTAATTTTACTTCTTTCGCAGCTTTTGGTCGGAATTTTCGAGTTGGCATTCACAGATTCAACAGCCACGTATCTGTTCCTGCGTTCCGGGCGAATGGCCAGCAGCTGACGGTTGGGGCAGCGAATATCGTAATGGTGAATGACAAATTACGATATGGCTTTTTGTGGATTTAAAAATGACTGTTTCAATTGGTTTTATCTAAATATATGTTATAAATCTTGACTAATTAAAAAACATTTTCAGTTAACTATTCAATCCAACCAATCTCGCATATATTCACAGGTTATGGCAGTTACATCGCCGCAATTGGAGCAGTTTTTGATCACCGGACAAATGCCGCAGGGCATTTGCACCAGTCCCGTGGGCGGAAGTGGCGAGTTGACCGCCCGGTAGACGTGGGTTCCGTCCTGCTGACGCACTCGCTCCGCATTGCCGTCGTACACCACCGTTTTGAGGATGGTCTCCAGATCGGCCTCCGCCAGATTGACCTTGCTGATGCCCAGATCCGAGATGAACTTCTGAACCTCGTTGACCGTGCAGCAGGACATCTGCTTGAAGGCCAAAGGCCCCTCGCGCTTCTTCTCCGCACTGTCGCGCTTCATTTGCAGGAAGCGCAGGCACTGCTGGTTGAGCACATCGACGAATTCCACCTCAAAGTCCTGATCCTGATACCAAGCACCGCCCGTAATGGAGAGATCCGGCTCCAGGTTGTACAGCATATACACCTTCTTTTTGCTGGCCTGGAATTAGTTGGTATTAAATTACATTATACCGGGTATAGGGGATTTAACCTACGTTCACCGACTTGACCGCCTTGATGAGCTTCTTAGTCTCCAGGTTCTTGAGAATCTTGTTGAGCTGTATCATGTTCAGGTTGGACTTCATGCGTATGTCCCGTATCCAGATGCCCTTGTTGCCGCCCTCCTCCACGATGCCGTAGACCACCTTCTCCTCGTTGTCCGCATCCTTGGGCAGGGCGCTCTTCTTCTCCGGATCCTTGGCGCGGTACACCAGCTTCTCGCCCTTCTTCAGGATCTCAATGCCGCCCTGCTGTAGCAGTATATTCAATGCCTCCACCCGCGTGGCCGCTGGGACATCGGGCAGCGCCTTGGTCAGGTCGTCGTTGGTGGCGCCGGCTGGAATGCCCTGGACCACAGCCAGCAAAAGTTGGGACACCTCCGTCGCCATGCTCCTGATTTCTGGGTTATTCTTTCATTTAAAACTCCAGTTTATTAAAAGAAACAACACGCTTACCGTAAATAGCAAAATCAAAACAAACTGTTCGGGGCGAATGTCAGGTGACCGCGCCAAGAACGATAAAAAATACCATGAGGTCTAGAAATAAATACCAAATTATACGGACATTTCCACCAGAATTTTAATCAGGCCGAAAAGCTTTCTGGGTAAGCTTTAAACTCTTGACTTGTTCTAAATTATAGCCTCTTCCCATAGAGTCCATCCGTTTGAAACGGTTGGGATTTTTGACGAATGTGAAACTCGTGTTCCCACAGAACTCCATCCACCATAGGGATGTCGAAATATTTAAAAATATCGTATCGATGATATTTTTTATTTAAACAAAAAATCAAAATGATATTTGATATATCAGAAAAAAAATATCTATATATCAGATATTTTTGATATTTTTGTTTTATTAATTTTTTTTTTTAATTTTAAGCTGCGTAAGCAATAACCACTAAACATTAACCCACATACGATCTTAAATTATATTTTTTTAATTTTTAGTTTATATTAATTAATAAATGAAAGAAAACAATATTTATTTTGGCTTTTTTTTTTCTTGAATTCTGAATGCTATGCTATGCATTTTCACTTGCCGAAAAATAAATTTTAGCGACGCTCATTTTTCACATATGTATTTTTTCTTGTCCCGATGAAAAGTGAAACCACTTAAAATTATCAAAAAAAATGTGAAAAAAAATCGATGATATATGATAATTATTCAAAAAAAATATCACGATAAAAATATTTATTTTTTCGTAAAAAATATCGATATATTTATATTTTGATATATTTTCGACATCCCTAATCCACCATCTACCATCCAATAACAGCTGACTGAAGAGCAGTTGCTCAGCTCAACATTAACGAAGGGGGATTTCAACTCGGGAAAACTGTCGTAAAATTGCGTTCTCCTAATTTTGTTGTAGAACTACAATAAATTAAAACTGAAAATTATGCATACCTTTATATTTGCTACTTATTTTAAATTTACAAATTCCTTATTTTTAGCCTATAGCCGAGAAAAGATTTTATCATAACTTTTTTCTTATTTTCCGCAAAAACAACAGTAAGGCTACTTAAAATATATAAAAAAAAACGTGCGAAAAAATTTCTAAAATTCTGATTGCTTGCGTAGGTTATCAGCTGCACAGAACAGAAACAAATTAATTTTTCGACACAAATCCTTACCATAAATTTCTTCACAACATTAGTACTTTGTCCAAAACATATTGTTTAAATATAGAATGTCATACTGGATTGGGCATGTAATTAAATTTCAAATCGATTAGCGTGTAAATCTAGAAAATAAGCTTGTTTTCTCAAAAAAATACACCAAAACCTTGCTTAAACATACCTCTTTCTCTAAAAGATTGCTTTCCAAAAACCAATATGATTATTTTGGTTAAGATTTATGAAGTTAGAGGAAATATTTTTGTTTAGGAAAAGGTAAATAAAAACCAAATACACTTTGCGATTTAGCTAATATGGGGGTTTCTAGAAGGTATCCACTAGACCTAAATAAATACGTGTAGTATTTAATTATAATTTAAAATTTTCTGAAATCTAGCTGTCGATTTAAAAAAAAAACTCATTTGATTTTATATGCTGACCAATTTTATTGGTGTATTGGAGGAGGAGTACTTGTCTTTTTTTTGTAGTGTTTGTTCTGTTTGTTTCTAATTGGTAAATGTTATAATGTTTCCGACTCCAGGACGTAGTGTAACTGGCATGTGCTCATTCTCACTACCGAAGGCTATAACAACTGGATTTATCGTTATTTCGATCGGTAACTTTCGCGTTATTAATTTTGTCAACGGGTTTAGGTTCCTCACTCTTTCGTCGAAAGTACGCAGGCCCATGCACCATTCAGTCGAGCTAGATTTCCTAATCAATGCCTCCATACAAAAAAGGGACATCTACATTGTAGGAGTGCTGTTCTTAGACGATGAATTAAGCCATCGTCAGGCTCCGGGAGCAGGCCGGCCCAACTATTAATATTTGCCAATGGCAGGCTTGTTGTCCATTCCGTTAGAGCGGTCGGCAGCTCCCTATTAAGTGAGCATAGGGTTTTGTTCTGCCGGCGCGCTGCTCGCACATGTATAACGTAGCTGGGCCAGCTCCTGCTCCCGGATTCGATTATCCAGATCCTTGCATTTGGCGGCGAGTTTCTCATTCTCCTCGGCCAAAATGATATAGTTGTGGCGCAGATTGCTAAAACAATCGTGACCAGCCAGCTAAAAAAAGGGTTACAAATATTCTTCATTAAAATAGTAGTGCCGGTCGCACACTGAGTTTTTTCTTAATACTTTCTCCATTTCTTCACATACCCAACTCATTTTTTGTCTGCAATCACGACTTTTTTATAGGTCGCGGTCCATGGACTACTATGTTGGCTTCTGTCAGTCAACAACCGCGATTTCTTAAGAGTCGCTTTTAAAAGTTGGTCATCGATGGTCACGCGAGTTCTTAAGCATTCGCATACAAGAGAACCATGGCAGTCCGCGCCTATTTTTACACCCGTTACTCGTAGAATAAAAGGGTATATTGTATTCGTGCAAAAGTATGTAACAGCTAGAAGGAAGCGTTTCCGACCCCATAAAGTATATATATTCTTGATCAGGGTCACTGGCCGAGTCGATATAGCCATGTCCGTCTGTCTGTCCGTCCGTATGAACGCTGAGATCTCGGAAACTAAAAAGCTAGGAGATTGACATTTTGCGTGCAGATTCTAGGAGTTCCTTCGCAGCGCAAGTTTGTTTCAAAAGGGTGCCACGCCCCCTCTAACGCCCACAATCGCTTATATACGATTTTAAAAAGTGCAATATTTCGGAAAAGTTAAAATGCAGTTTTATTGTGTTTATCAATACCTATCGAAATGTAGAAGAAATTTTTTAAATCGGACCATTCGTTTAAAAGTTACGGCGGATCAAAGTTTTTATCCCCATCTCCTTCGCACTCCCTTTAGCTGAGTAACGGGTATCTGATAGTCGGGGCACCCGACTATAGCGTTCTCTCTTGTTTTTAAATCGAAAGATGTGGCGATTGAACTTAGTTCTTTTCAAATTGGCAACTTGTTAAACAACACCAATGTTGTTGAATTTATCAAAGAGTTAAATGGTTTGACTTAAACCACCCTGGAAACCCGAGCTAAGAACTGTACTGAACTGGGGCCCACTCCCACAAAGCTCGCCAGGTCCGGCACACTAGAAAACCTGAGAACCCGAGTTACAGGGTAGTTGGATGAGGATGAGGAACTGGGGCTCAGTACTCGCCGAGTACGGAAGAAGCCGTGGGGAACAGCACGACCGTCCAGATGAATATCCTGGCACGAACGAAACACTGGGAAACAGTGGCAGTGGTCCCAAATGCCTAACTCCCGGCACGAGTTGTCCCAATGGTGGGCGACTACGTTGAGGAGTTTGAGCTTGAGTTTTAGCAGGACGGCGACACTATTTGGGGGGAGGATCCGCCTGGCCCTGGCCAAATGCCAGACTTTAAAACGCCAGCGGTAATGGTGGACACCAGAGAGCTGCAACGAGTCAATGGCTGCGTTCAGCAGAACAACATGATCACTGATCACTGATGGATTTCTTACGATAGTTCTGCTGAACGCACATGATCACTGATCATGATGCAAGATTTTTGCATCAGTGATCAGTGATCAGGAAGCGTAAAAAAAGTACGCTACCTTTTCTTGATACATGATACATGACTTCTGGCATGTATCGATAGTCGAAATATCGAAACTTATTAACAAAATAATTTAAAACAAGAAAGGAAGCTACCTTCGGAGCTATATACCCTTGCAGATAAAGTAATACTCACTCTGTGCAGTTCCAGGGATTCCAGATTCAGCGTTTCTATTTTTGAATTTCTATTCAAGAATTAAAACGCCTACTTCCTACAAAGTAACAATGAATTTTCTTATATATGTTTGAATATTCCTATGGGAGCCTTAAGATATAGTGGTCCGATCCGGCTGGCTCCGACATATGTACTACCTGCAATAGAAAGAAAACTTTCGGGAAAGTTTCATCGCGATAGCTTTAAAACTGAGAGACTAGTTCGCATAGAAACGGACAGACGGACAGACGGACATGGCTAGATAGACTCGGCTATTGGTGCTGATCAAGAATATATATACTTTATGTGGTCGGAAACGTCTCCTTCACTGCGTTGCAAACATCTGACTGAAATTATAATACCCTCTACAAGGGTATAAAAAACCATAAATTCGGTGGAATTCTTTATAATTGTTCAGCCATTTTTGATTTTTATGTATCCACGATAGCTGTGAGCCGTGCTGCAGTTGCGGGAGCGGGAAAAATATATATTTTCAAATTGCGCGCGCAATGTTTGTTATATATTTTACTTTTACGTCGTCGATATGTATCATGAGCGTTCAGCAGAACAAACTTGATTACTGATTACTGATCCATCAGTGATCATTAGTGTTGGGTTGCTCATGAGCAGTGTTGGGACATACCTAGATACTTTTACCTAGGTACGTACCTAGGTACAATTTAGTGGTACCTTTTACCTTACCTAGGTATACAAATAATTGAGTACCTTTTACCTTACCTAGGTATTTATTTTTATATACCTTTGGAATTATTAAGGTACTTACATAGGTATTAAACATTGCTCTGATTTAAAATATCCAAATCTGACTGCGACACTGTAGTATCGTTTCATTGTATCGTTTCGTTTCAGAATTGTAATAGTCGGAACGCAGCATTAATAATTCAGCCGTTCTATTGTTTGTTTTGTGAAGTTAAAACTAATCGCAGTTTTTTTATATAATTTTGTGCACGTATGTATGTTCCCATCACTACATCAATTTATTTATGAAACCAAAGTGTATTTGGCGCGCAAAAATGCCGTATGTACGTAAACAAACGGCATATACATGCATATGCACAATATATAGTCAATGTTTCTACATACGGAATTTTTGCGCGCCAAATATGTACATGAGGGTTTCATAAATACATTAATGAAGTGATACGTGCATAAAATTATTCATGCCGCGTGGTTTAAAAATAT